TGTGCTCCCCTGGTTGCAGGCCTCCCTGCACATGACCAGGGGTATGGAGGTCATGTATCCAGAACACATAGGTACTAATTAATTTTGCTGCCTGTTGGCTTATTTCCCTGGGAGTATATTCATAAAAGAAAATTTACTGGCACAAAAGTTAAGAGGGATCTGTTAAACCAATTGCCTGAGGATAATTCAGAAAACTTGAGCAGCCCACAGTTGGTTCAACTAAGGATAAGATCATAATAGATCACATCAAGATTCAGGAAGACTTGCGTTTCATCAAGCTCCAAGAAGGTCTTTCTGATATGCTCCAAAGATTTGCTTTTTGAAGCTCATTGTAAAGGCCTTACATTAAATTTTCCTTGGTTTGTTTTTCAACTAAAATTTTAGTTGAAAATTTTGTTTGTGTGCTTGATGCACTAGCTTCTCTTGTGATTAAAAAAACAGCCAAAGGATAAAAAAGAATCCACCAGTCAAAAAATTGTGAAGAATAGGGCCACTCAAGTTATTGAAATCTTTGGTGTGATTTTTTTCTTTTTGACTGGTGGATTCTTTTTTATCCTTTGGCTGTTTTTTAACATTAATTCTTTATTATGGAAATTTAGAAACCCATAAAAAAATAGGAGTAGAAAACTGAAGCTTCAACAGCCATTGACTTTCTGCTGTTCTTTCTTATCTTTCTCCCTACATACTTGTTTTCTCCCCCATTGTGGTTTTTTAAGCAAATTCCAGGCATCCTATGATCTCACCCATAAATACTTCAGAGTGCATCATGCTTTGTTAAATGACCACAATGCTGACAACAAAGCAAATGAGGTAAAATAATAATAAGTGAATCTAGGTAGAAGGGGTACAGATGTCTTTTGAGCTGCTTATTTTTGCAAAATTTATATAAGCTTCAAATGACTTATAAATAAAAAGTAAAAAAAAAGTGCAAACAAAAAATATGACTGTAATATGATCACACTTGATAATCCAAGAAACAGATTTTTTTCTTTTACTGTAAGTCATGTTCCTAGAAAAAAATCCAGAAAAATCTTAAGAAGGAAATAAGTCATTCATAATTCTAACACCCAGACGTAATCACTATTAAACAGTTGTGTATTATGTATCCAGGCCCTTAAACGAACCCAGATACACAAACTTTTGCATATCATTTAAAAAGTTCAACAGTGCTAATGAGTTTATAATCAAATTCCCGTCCTCCCACCCCTCTGCGGTCCCACCCGCTGAGTACTTGCCCCTGCTTGCTCTCTCTTTTATCTGTTAGCAGCCTCTCTTTCATGGCAAAATGCCACATGCAGTTCTGTCTTCACAGTATCTTTCTGACTTACCACAGCTGTTAAGATGAAAGGGAATCAAATTTTGCTTATTTTTTCTCAGCAGGGTGTGTTTTTCATTTTGTGTTTGATCTTAAAAAATGCTTTGTTTGTGGGCAGTGGATACTGCAGACTGGCTCATTCATCACCCACCTTCCTCCAGCACGTCGTCCTGTACTCCAGAGGTTGGAGGGCAAAGGCCACTTTCCCAAACTTCCTTTGGAAGAGTTCTGCATGTGACTGATGGGAATCTTGGAAAGGTGATATGAATGGGGCCAAGCACAGTGGCAGAGAACTTTGGTTCCTCCAGCTGCAATGAAGGTTCCAGTGCCTGGATCCCTGTGTCGTGGGTGTTGAGTGCATGGGAAGTAGTTAAGTTTTTTTTTGTCAAACAACCCTGTGAAGGAATTAGGAATTTCTTTGGCAGTGGAGGGCAAGGAGAGACCTGAGACCTGCCTGGTAATTCCCAGGCCCCAGTGCTTTCTCATGAGAGATCTGGCAGGCCTGGGAGGGGCCTCGTGGTTGGGACAAAGTGATGCAGCCACGAAAATCACTGTGGATTCTATGCCCTGGGGACACAGATGTCTCAGAGGATGTCAGAATGGAGACATAACAATTACTGGGGGCTAGATATGAATGTTCTCAGAGGGACTTCCCTGGCAGTCCAGTGGTTAAGACTTAACTTTCCAACGCAATGGGTACAGGTGCAACCCCTGGTCAGAGAGCTAAGATCACACATGCCTTGAGGTAAAAAACTCAAAACATAAAACAGAAGCACTGTTGTAACAAATTCAATAAAGACTTTAAAAACGGTCCACATCTAAAAAAGATAAAAGAAAAAAACAGTGTTCTTAGAGATGTCAACAGGAGCTGTGGATGTTTGGGGAAACCTACCTCCTCACACTATAGAAGGGGGAAGGGAGAAACCTCTGTACAGACCCCTGAAAACCTAAATTGATTCAGAAAATTCTGAAATTCAAGAGAAAACCCCAGTTTGACTGAAATGAAGTTTCTGTCAGGCTGAATAGGAATTTGAGAGGAAACTAGGTTGTGACAGAAAAATAATGCAGATTCATAACTGACACCCTGATTGTGTGCTGAGAGTCATACCTGCTACAAATGACAGAGGACAGTGATGTTCAGTCTCCCTTTCTGACAAGAAGGTAGGGAGAGGCCACCTTATCTGCAAGCACTCGTTTAAGTGGAGCTCACCGTGAATGGTGTGTGTTTTCCCTGAGCAACCTCTTCCTCCAGCTCAGCCATGAGGGTGAGCCACTTGTCAAAGCAAACTTGGGATGGATGAGTGTGTGGCATTTTGCATTGCAAAGTGGCTGCTTCCACTTGGCTGCTTTGACCAGCAAAATAAAAATAAGATAAAAACTTGTATTTAAAACAAGCAAATAGAAAAATTAAAACCAAGCCATTAAATGTTTATTCTTTTTTTTAAAAAGTCCAAGTAAAATGTTAAATATAAGTCTTCACTCTTCTCTGGGCTTTGCTCAGAGGTGTGACCAGGGTGGGAGTGGCAGGCTGGGTCTGGTTTGGGGGAGCAGATGCCTCAGATCTTCCTGTGTGAGACCTTCTCTGTCTCCTACATGACGCCCTCTAGTGTCTTTTCATCCAGATTGACAATTGTAATTTCCACAAGTCTTTTTTTTTCAAACTTTCAACTTTAATTTTTTTAATCTTTTGGCCTCGTTGTGTGGCATGTGGCATGTGGGATCGAACCTGCGTCCCCTGTGTTGGCAGCATGGAGTCTTTACCATCGGCCTACCAGGGAAGTCCCTTCCACAATTCATTTTCATGGTAAAAATTAAGGAAAGGTGGCCCTTTTGGAAGAAAATGGTCAGAAAGTCATCAAGAACTGTAAACTTTGTGGCGTCACACAGGTTTGACTGGCTTAAAAGCAGCATTTAGAGAGATCTGAGAGTTGGCTGCCAGACTGGGATGGTCTTCCCTTGGTGCTAGACATCTTGGTTCTGACACCAGAGGTGGGGGGAGCATGGGGCCCTTAGGGGACTGATGTTCGGCTTCACCATGAGCTATGGTGTTCAGGACCCCTTGGACTGGGCCCTAGAGTTCTTGGGCTTATTATGGAGAAAGTTAGTGTGATCAGTGGGTTTGTTGTTAAAGTGTTAATGGTTAAATAAATGTGTTGTTTTCTATTTTAAACAAGTGAAAAAAATTACAATATCAGTAATAATATTAACTAATATTTATTGCGTGCTTACTATGGGCTAGGCACCATGCTAAAATACTTTACATACATTTATCTCATTTAACCCACATAAGAGCTCTGAGGGAAAAGAATGATTATACCTCCATTTTAGACACAAAGAAGCTGGGGCTGAGTGAGGGCAAGGTTCCCTGCCTGTGGTCACCTAACTTGTGAATGACAAACCCAGCACTTGACCCCAGCTCTCTCTAGCTCCGGAACCTGACTGTTCAGCAGTATGCGGTTCAACATTCAATCCTGTAACTACCCATGGGCAGACTCCCACTGCTGGAGGGAACCTAAGGACGGCATTGGGGAGTGCCAAGAGTAATAACCCACGAGAGCTCTCTTGGAACCACGTGTTCTTACCCCAGAAACTGGCAGGAGGTCAGAGACTGGGAGCTTATTCTTCACAGGAGAAGTTATGGATCTGACCTCAGGAAGCGTTTGGGGAGGAGAAAGAGGGAGTTTCTGGATCACTGGGCCCTGAAAGGGCTCATTTAGGGCTTAGCTCATTGGGGTGTGGGTGGTGGGGGGGGGGGCAAAGAAAATGGAACTCAATAATACTGCCTTATATCAACCAGACTGGGACATTTTTTCCAGTTTATATTGTCCATGGACTATTAAAACAGAGGCATTTTCTTAAGGATAAAGCTACATATGACAATATTAATTACAGATACAGTTCACTGAATTCGTGCAGTCCCTTCCCAGCAGTCTGAGGTGATTCCTGAGATCTTGGGATCTACACATGGCATCACCGTCACACTCTGGACAAAATCAGACGTACTGTTAGAGGATGGATGCTAACCTTCTCCACGTCACATGACAGCAGCAGCAAGTAGGAGACCACATATTTAACAGTTTTCATAAATAGGAGGGGACACATTCACCTTACAGCTTTGGACATTTCAAGTTCTTCCCACTGTCAAGGTGTTGGGCAGAACTGGTGACATTCTGTCTTTCACACTCAATTCTAGTGGTGACCAATATGAGGTCCTGTCACTCTGCACAGGTTTGTCTCTGGACCAGGCTGTCTGCAAAGTTCAGGGCAGACGTTTCAACATTAAAAACAAAAATCAAACCAAAACAACAGCAACAAAAACAAGAAATAAAACCCTAGGGGGAATAGGTGGGTATCTTAAAGCCATGGTTTTACCTCTGGACTGTTGGGTGGGATAGAACAGAAGAGGAGAATGGAAGCAGGGATAGGAAAGGCAAACCTGACTACAGGGATCTCAGCACTCATAACCTAACCACAGAAGCACACCGCTCCCCTCTTTTTCATTTTAATGGGGACATTATTTCATTCACTCTCGTTTATAGCAGTGCAGCTAAGTTCCAAGCATTTGGTGGGTCTTATCCCTCCTTCCTGGAGGAAGGGAGCCGGGGGGCAGTTCCTCATCCCTGTGGAGAAGGTCATCCTGGGAAAACTGCCTGGATTCCCCCTGAACTGACTTTCTCCTTCCCTTTTAAGAACGCAGCATGTTTTCTGTAACAGTGCTGCCTCCGCCGCTGATGACAAAGCTCCGGGTATTAGACACTACAAGTGCCGGGGACATCTCTTCGGGGTCCTCCATCTCTAGCTGGTGGTCCTCACCCACAGGGCCCTGCAGGCCTGTCTCCTGGGCGGTCAGTTCCGAGTCCGTCTCCCCGCACTGCAGCGGGAGCAGCGCCTGGTGTTTGGTCAGGGCGTCGTTGTTTTTCTGGGCCTCCAGGGAGGTCTGGTGCGTGGAATTCCTGGGAGTCACGGCGCTCTTCTGAGGCTCGTCAAAGCTCAACGAGAAGGTGACGGTGCCGCTGCCGAAGATGACCTTCTGCTTGCATCTCGGCGGCTGCTGCGACTGTGGCTGCGGCTGCGGGGTCGAGGGTGGCTGCGGCTGTGGCTGCTGCGCGTTGTGTGGGCTCAGGGCCAGCAGCTGCGGCTGCTTCTGCCTCTCCGGCTGCTGCTGCGGGAAGGGGTCCTCACTGTTGCTCTTGCTGCTGATGGAGGAGGAGGGGGTGGATCCCGTGGAGCCCCCCAGGCTGCTGGACCGCTGGCGGGAGACGTTGCTACGGCGCAGCGTGGCTCGGGCGGCCACCTTGAAGGCGTGTGCCGCGGTGCTGCAGCGCACCTCCTCGATGGTGTTTCGGGACGGCTTGAAGAGGATGATGTAGACCTTGTTGAAGAAGATGCAGGCCAGCAAGCCAAAGCTGGCCGCCAGGATGGCGATCACCTCCACCGCAGAGACGAACTTGCCGTAAGTGCTGGCGTAGGCGGGGATGAAGGAGATCCAGACGATGAAGAAGATGAGCATGCTGAAGGTGATGAACTTGGCTTCGTTGAAGTTCTCCGGCAGCTTCCGGGACTTGAAGGCGAAGAAGAAACAGATGGCAGCCAGCAAGCAGGTGTAGCCGATCAGGAAGCCCAGCGCCATGAGCGAGCCCTCATGGCAGGTGATGAATATGATCTCGTCCTCCAGCTCGTGGTTGCGATAGCTCGAGGGGGGCGCCGTATTGAGCCAAATGGCACAGATGACAATCTGCATGAAGGTGCAGAGGAAGACCAGCAGGAACTGCAGGTTGAGCCCCCACCACTTGCGGTGGAAGCTGGTGGGAATCTTGGCCTCAAACACCAGGAGGACCCGATTGGTTTTCACCAGGATGCACGAGATGCAGAGCACGAAGCTGATGCCAAAGGCCGGCTGGCGCAGGCGACAGGTCCAGTCCTGGGGCTCTCCAATGAAGAACAGAGAGCTGGAAAAGCAGCAGAGCAGGGAGAAGAGGAGGAGGTAGGAGAGTTCCCGGTTTGTGGCCTTGACGATGGGTGTGTTGCGGAACTTGATGAAGACACCCAGCACAAAGGCTGTGAGGAAAATGCCCAGTACAGCAAACAGCATGAGTGCGATCCCAAAGGGCTCAGTCCAGGACAGAAACTCGATCTCCTTGGCGATGCAGGAAGTGTGGTTCTCATTGGACCAGAAGTCATCAGGGCACTTATCACAGGCACTTGCATCTGTAAAGTGTCACAATGAAGGGGTTAGTACTGAGTGGCAGAGACTGAAATGTGTGAGTGTGAATGTGGTGATGAGGGAACTTTAAATTTGCTGTATTGATGAAATAACTGTGATTTTTACATTGTCAGATAATGTACTGAACCCTGACTTATGCTTAATAATATGCTTGATTTCATGCTTGTTTGGTGGTTCTGTTATTTTTTCTTTTGTGCTGTGCTCAGTCCCTTCAGTTGCGTCCAACTCTTTTCGACCCTATGGACTGTAACCCACCAGGCTCATCTATCCATGGGATTCTCCAGACAAGAAAACTGGAGTGGGTTGCCATGCCCTCCTCCAGTTTGTATATATGGGGGCTACTTTTTGAAAAATTTTTAAATTTTACGTTGCAATATAGTTGATTAACAACGTTGTGATAGTTTCAGGTTTATAGCAAAGTGATTCAGTTTACACACAAACATGTATCTATTCTTTCTCAAATTCTTTTCCCATTTAGGTTGTGACATAACATTGAACTGACTTCCCTGTATTATACAGTAGGTCATTGTTGGTCATCCATTTTATATATAGCAGTTTGTACAGGTCAATCCCAAACTCTAGGAGGGCTACTTGCTTCCTTTAACACTACTTGATGATGTATCATTCAGCAAGCACAGAATGATCAGTCTTGCCAGACAGGTGGCTGCCCTGCACACTGGGGGTCTGGCACTGTCCACCAATTTTCACAGTGATTCACACTCAGTCTGACTTATTTTGGACATAAGGATGGGCTTTGTAGACACGCCAGAGCAGCCTTTTAGATCATGGCTAAGTACTCCTCGATTCTGACCTGTGCCTTCCTCACTCCACATCAATGGCTTTCTAGTGAGGGTGGCTGCAGACTCATTTGACCAACAAATGTTTACTATGCCTCTGCTGTGTCTTAGTCAGTGTGCAGTTTTGGGGAGTGAAAGGAGCATGGGCTTTGCAGGCAGAAATCTGGATGCGAATCCTGGCCCTGCCACTTATTATTTGTGTGACTTTGGTCAGGCTCCTTAACCATTCTAAGCATCAGTTTCCTCATTGGTGAAATGGAAGCAATAATAACTCCATCATGGTAGTGAGGATGAAATGAGTTAATAATAATGAGAAAAAATTATATTTGCTATTTATAATATATAAATATATATATATATATATACTCCAATATATATATTGGAGTGCTTCCAATATGTCAATCAAATATTTCTCTATAACTTATCATTTGTTTTACCAGTTTTATCTAATTTAATCCCCCAAACTCTGTAAGATAGTTTTATTATTATTCTCACTTTATAGATGAAGAAACTGAGGCATAGGAGAAACATAAATAAGATAGTAAGTCCAGTGCAAGGCACTCTGTAGACAATCTATTGTGACCTATTAACTCTGGAGCCTGGAACATTCACAACTTTGTCTATTCAGGATCACTGAGCTCTAAGAAGAGAAAAACAATACTGGAGTGCAGTATCGATGTAAGAGAAAGATGTGCAACAGATGTGTTTGTAAACTTTTACGGTATTGCAGAGATACCTAATGTTCCGATTCTATCCCCCTCAGCGTGCAGCCCAGTGTGACGCTGAGACGCACCGTGTTAAATGAGAAAGCACCCTTCCAGGGGCCTCGCTGAGCCCTGGGCCCAGAGTGAAGGGGGCTCTGCAGCGCGCCAGGGCTGCCGCTATACCTGTCTCGTCGCTGTACTCCCCATCCGGACACTCCACACACTCAAAGCAGCACGTGGGCTCCCCCTCGATGATGCCCTTCCTGGTCCCTGGCAGGCAGTCTCGGCTGCAGTTGGAGAAAGGCACCTGGAGGGCGGAGATAACAACAGTGAGGGGCTGCAGCTTGGGGTCAGTCTTCCAGCTCCTCTGACATGTGTCAGAGGGAGGAGCTGGGCACCAGCACCACTGTGGCAGACTCAGGCCCAATCCAGGCAGAGGAAGAGCCAGCGGTCTGTGTTCCTATTATCTCTGAAGGGGACAAATGCCTACGGGAAAGAGCAGGCGCACACACACACACACACACACACACACATCTCAGTGGAATTCGAGGAAGATTAATTGTTGGGAGTCTACGCAGTAACAAAATCCTCCCTAAATAACCTTCCCTTCCATCCTCTACAAGTCCCAGAAAAAGACATCTGTTTACTTTTCATAGAACTAAAAGTTTGGGACAAACTACAGGACACAGGGACATGGACCTACACCCAGAGGGAGAGCCACAAGGGGAAATGCTGAGACAAGGGGACATTTGAAAATGAGACTTTGAACTTTGTAGTAAAATGTAATTCCTTCAGTTTTCTTTTACGCTTTACAGGATGATTTCTGAGATGCTTGCAACAACTCAGTGAGGTAGGCCTGACAGGAATGGAAGAGGCGAAAGTAAATGGATCAGAAAACTATACCAGGTGATTACTAACCAAAAGAAAGCTGCAATAGCTACATTAACTTCAGATAACATAGTTTTTATTTAATTTATTTCCTTAATGGACTTCAGGTGCACAGAGTTTGATTAATCATAATCCTTAAACTATTATTACTTGTTCATGTTTGAGCCACTTTGGCTAGTCATTTTTAATGTGTGTGTGCATGCTCAGTCACTCAGTCATGTCTGATTCTTTGTGATCCTGTGGACCACAGCTTGCCAGTCTCCTCTGTCCATGGGGTTCTCCAGGCAAGAATACTGTAGTGGGTTGCCATTTCCTCCTCCAGGGAATCTTCCCGACCCAGGGATTGAACCGGTATCTCCTGCATTGGTAGGTGGGTTCTTTTACCACTGAGCCACCTAGGAAGCCCCTCATTTTTAATGACTACCACCCAAAACAGAAACTAGGACCAGGATAATAACCTACATCTAATTATATACTCCTCTTTCCACTTAACTTCCTCCCCACCACATAGTAATACCTGAGATGACCATCATCCTTGTTCACCAAAAGCAAATAATACTAAACTTTCAAGGAACAGAGCAATCTTATACAAACTCTAGCAGAGATCAGGAAAATATATATATTCTTAAAGGAGCACCTTCCAACTAATTCTTGTAAGCCCAGTATAATAATCTTGATTCTAAAATAAGACAAGGACAGTATGAAGGCCCATCTCACTTATTAAGTTATTTTCAGAAGTAGAGCTGAGTTGAGGATTTGTGTCCAAGTGATTTATAAGGAAAGTTCTCTCAAAGGAATCAGGAAGAGAATGGAGGAAGTGGGACATAGGAGGCAGGAGAAGAAGCAAGGCTATGATCCTGAGCAAAGTCCCTCTGACTTCTACCCCATCCCCCGGGGGAGCTCTGGACTGCAGGTTAGGCCCCAACGCTGTCCTGAACTGAAGAAAAGGGCTAGGGCTTTCACACTTCCACAGCACTCAGAGGGGAAGGGAAATGTAAATTCCTAGGCTCTTCTGAGGTTCTCCTTTGCCTCTCTGAGCCTGTAGGCAAAATGGGTTCCATTAGCCTACAGGCAGTCTCTGAAAAAGAATATCAAGTTCTGATTATTGGAAGTAAAAATGTATAGAAATCCTGGAGATACATGCAAAGGGTAAGGACTCTGAAAGGATCTGGAAAGAGTAAAACTACTTTCTACTACTTGAAAACAGATGAAAAGTACTAAAATAACAGACAAACTCAAAGGGCATGAAAAACAAAATACACCATGATCATGCTGAGTTTCTGCCAGGAATGTAAGCAAGTTTAATACTAGAAATTCTGTGTCACTCACTGCAATAATAAATTAACACAGAAAAACATGATCATCAATGGATGAAAAAATATTTGATGAAGTTTAACACAAACTAGTGATAAAAATGGGGTCACAAAGAGTCAGACACAACTAAGCGACTTCACTTTCACTTTTCACTTTCATGCATTGGAGAACGAAATGGCAACCCACTCCAGTATTCTTGCCTGGAGAATCCCAGGGATGGGGGAGCCTGGTGGGCTGCCGTCTATGGGGTCGCACAGTGTCGGACATGACTGAAGTGATTTAGCAGCAGCAGCAGTGATAAAAAACTTAATGATGTTGGACCGAAAACAAAATTCTGTAAAGCAATGATCCTTCAATTACAAAATAAATAAATTTTTAAAATATTAGAAAAAAACTTAATGAGAGTAGGAAGAAATATCTTTACCTTGAAAAAAAAATTCCCAAATTCTTAGCATAAACATATGATACAATATTATTTAATTTAAAATAAATAAGGGTGTTTATTTAAAATAAAGGTGCTCAGTATCACCACTATTATTATATATTACACCAGAGTACCTAGTTAGTGGAACAAGAAAAATATGGGCAAACATATTGGAAAGGGCTAAAAAAAACTTGTTATTTTAAATAATAATGCAGATAACATGCTTGTCCACATTAGAAATAACTGGAGAGCAGCCCTGGGCTAAAATGCCACAGACTGCCACTGTTAGCTGAGTTTCATTAGTTTTTCTTAAAAAAAAAAAAAACACACCAAAAAACTTCACCTTTTGATGTATGCTATTGGTTGATTTCTAGCTTCTTAAATTATTGTTTTTGACAATTTTGCCCAATCTACCATTGTTTCACCATTCAGAAGTCCTGCTTCCATCTCAATCTTTGATCATGCCAGGTAACTGAGTACTTATTAGGTATTTACTATGTGACAGTCTGTGTGTATCAGAGATAGTAAATATATCATAAGAACGAAGTATATTTTGAATAAAGCATACATTTCTTGAATTAGGGAGCAAGTCTTCATTTTTGTAGCCCCAGTTACAAAGCCTTGAATAACCCTTGATACAGGGTAGGGTTCATACTATTTTCAAAACATCTCTTTAAGAAGACTGTCCCCCTTCCCACTACTTGCTTGAACTGGAGACATCTTACAAAGTTAAACACATGGAAAGCAGTAAAATAATTATCATTGTTTCCAGCAAAAAAGAAATAACTGGCTTGACAAGGAATTTAAAAACACTTGAACAGATGATCAGCAATATTTTCTAATGAAAGAGGAATAGAAGTAGCGATACCAGGTCTGATGATCATTGAGACTCTCAGGACCCTGGTTTGAAGGAAGGAAAGGATAAGCTACATCTATGAACACTGCAATATTTGCTATTATTATGTGCCTGTGAATTCACTGCAAGCTCTACTGGATCACGGTATGTATTTCATACATTGCTGGTTAAACTTTGTTGATATTTTACTTAGGATGTGACCACATCTATGTTTATAAATTGGCCTATAATTGTCTTTTCTTGTACTGTTATTGCCTGTTTTTGATGTTAAGATTATATTAGCCTTTCAAAATGAGTTTAGTAGCTTTCCTTTGGGCTTCTGTTAGGCTGTGAGTGGCAAAAACCTCAAAATAACAAAATAACAATGGTTCAATCTATACCAATTAGAGACAACTGTGTGCATCAACATAGGTAAAATATAACCTGGGTGAGTCAACAACAGCAGGGAACAGATAAATAACATAGCTGATCAATTTAGACTGTAGTCAGTTGATACTTGTGATAATTTAGACAAGAGTATAGTTAGTGAACAGAGGAACATACCCTCTGGAATCCCCAAAGCTCTGTCTGAAAAAGGGTCATGACATGTTTATAATTGAGAATTCATTCTCTGAGGTAGAAACTAAAAAGACTTGCACACTGTGGGTGAGATTTGCTATCTATAGGAGAACTTCTTGTGGGTAACTTATCCTTTGAATTAAGAAACAGTGAAATTGTAGTATCTCAGCAGAAACCCATCAACCTAAGAAGCATTTGGTAAAAAGATGAAGTTGAATTTTTGGTCATGTCATAAAAAGTGGTCCAAGATACTCAAAGGTGATAATAGAAAGTGTTAGTCCCTCAGTTGTGTCTGAATCTTTGCGACCGCATAGACTGTAGCTCACCAGCCTCCTCTGTCCATGGGATTTTCCAGGCAAGAATACTGGAGTGGGCTGCCATTTCCTACTCCAATAATAGAAAGGCAAATGCAGAGAGAAATGTAGCAGTTCTCATCCAGGCTTTTTGGAAGAGTTAGAGAGGATGCCCGGTCCATGGTTTGTTCCTACAGAGGATCTGGGTCCTTAGAACGTATTATATTCTAGGACACAACCATTGTAGAATGGTTATTATTTCAGCCTGTCATGTATCATTTCCTTAAGTGCATATTCGCTGGGAGTAATGTGCCTCTGGTTATTAATCAGGCTTGTAGATGAAGTGATACTCATTGAAGGAGGCCGTGATCACAGTCACAAGCATCCTCCTATTTGCTACAGGTCTCCCATAGGAGGAGAATAAATTGTCCTTTTGATTTATAGGTGAGTCCTAAGCTATTTTGGATAACAGGGAGCTACCTCTGTGTGAATTGCCCATGCCCTGTCTTGAGTGATGCTTGTGTTTGCTTAAATATTTTCCTCTGGTTGGGGGAAAGTTTTAGCCAAAGAAACTATTATTAGCCATGGAGTCAGATTTGTAAAGAATAAGATTGTTTCAATACAATAAGCATGGGGCTCCGGTTTTGAGCAATCTCTTCTGGACACTAACACTCATGGATTTCACAGGGAATCCTGACAACACAGTTAGTGAACTAATGGAAGTGGACTCGTGATTCTGGAAGTCCAGTGGCAAAGCCCAAGGCCCTCCCAAAGCCCAGCGCAGTTTCTTCCTGTGGTGGAGGCATCTAGTATCCTGATGGACAGCACGTACCTCCCTTGAGAATCCACTCCACAGGATTTTTTCATCATTGATGAAGAGTCTCTCTCCTTTCTTGGCATAGACATTGTAATATCCAACTTCCTTAAATACTATGGAGCCGTCCTCTGGGGAGAGGTGCCAATTGATGATGGAATAGTTCCCTGCCAGGTCTCCACATTCATCGAAAGTTACTTGTTCCCCCATATTGCTGGTAAAATTTAGGTGCCGCAGGTGTTTCAGGACCTAAAGAACAGAGATGAATATTCTGAATACAAGTCACAGGGCTGCCACATATGGTTATGTAGGTTGAGCACTGCACAAGGACAGTAAACTATCTTGTTCAAACAAAGTGGAAGGGACATGACTTGAGGAAGAGGGACCTTTTTGTAATTTATATTAAGGTACTTAGATGTGTTAGTGGCAGCCTTGGTAAGCCATGAGCTTTATTTTGTATGCAAATTGTGTCAGATGGTCCAAAAAGTTCATTTGGGTTTTTCATAAGATGTGATGGAAAAACCCCAATGAAACCCCAGTGTTTTGGTCAACCCAACAACAGGGTCAGGGGTAGGAAACGTTTTCTTGAAGTCAGGAAAAGAAGGGGAATATGTCTTACCATGGAACTGGCCAAATTAAGGCTTTTACAGGTGCACCATCATCTGGTGGTACCCAGGAGGGAAAGGGTTGTAAGCCAGAGCCATCCCTGGTGTCTTCTGAGATGGGCTTTTGAAAGAGTAGTACTCTTACACTCTGCACCATCTTTCTCTAAGCTATGGCTTCTGTGGAAGTGCCCTGCTGCCAAAGTTCACAGAGAGAAGGGTGGAAGGAAGAAAGAAAGAAGGCTATGAGCAGAGCCTTGGCCATCACTGTTCTAATCACGGCCAGTCCTTTACTTTTTGCAGGGTGTTATGAGTCACAAAGCCCTTGTAAAAAAAAGTTATGATAATAATCACCAAACCTTACTAGTCATTTTATTACCTTTGAAGCACAATGCTGAATGCTTTATATTTGTTGTCTAATCTTCACAACAAATAGTACTATTAACGCTCATTTTGGGACTTCCCCAGTGGCTCAGCAGTAAAGAATCTGCCTGCAAAGCAGGAGACACCAGTTCAATCCCTGGGTGGGGAATATCCCCTGGAGAAGGAAATGGCAACCCATGCCAGTATTCTTGCCTGGGAAATCCCAGGGACAGATGAGCCTGGGCGGGGGTTGGGGGTGGGTCAGGGGTGGTGGGGCTACAGTCCATAGGGTTGCAATGATTCAGACACGACTGAGCATGCATGCACTCCCATTTTATTGATGGAGAAACTGAGGAAACAGGAAGTATCTGGTCCCAGGCACACAGCTAGGAAGTGCTGCAAGCCTGCACATGTAGGGGCTCTGCTCCATGGCAGCAGCGTTAGGCTCCTGCCTCTGCTTTCTGTGCACCCCTGACTTGGGTCGAGAGGAAGCAGTGGGCACTCAGCAGCTTATCTTTCATGTGGGAACTGCCCGGTGCCAGGAGGTCATGAGGCACTGAGAGAGAGAGTGAAACATACACAGTCCGGATGGTGAGAGTAGGGGTGCTCACTTACACTGTACCTCGTGACTCACAGGGCTTTCTCACTCTCTGGCTCCGAGTGTGTTTCCTCACTGGCAGGGCAAGAGGGCTGGGCCCTAGAGACTGCAGGAATCTCCAAGTTCTAGTTTCGACTTCTCTCTGTTCTATGCTGTGGTGGCCCTAGGAATACATTTAGAAGTACCTCTCCTGTTTAGCATAACTTTCAAGGTACCTGAAAAACCAGCATCTAATCTGACACCGAGAAAAGTTTGGGCCCTATTATCCATGTGTGTGATGAGGGAAGGGCAGCTTTCATGTTCTACTCCACTCCTGAGATGACACAGCTTTTTAAAACAATTTATATCTGTATTTGACTGTATTTTAAAGCCAACATTTATTGTAAGGAAAATTAAATAAAGAAAAGGAGCCACCTGAACTTGCTCATAAACAGCCCTGGGGTGAGCGTGGGGACAGAGAATGTGGCCGGCCACATGTGCATACAGACACAGCACCTGGGCGCCTCAGTCACCTGCTGTGCGTGTGGTGACCCCTTTAGCGCTCTCATTGCTGCCCTGGTGGAAGTCGGCTGCTCTGATTTTTGTCCCAGGCTTATGGGGGATGGGGATCCCTCACTCCCTACTGCTTGGTTCCTTTGTTCTGCAGCCAGAGCTGCTGAGTTATCCTCAAAAAAAAAAGATGGAGAGTGAATCCTACTAAGGATGTTCTCCCAAACCTTCCTCAGTGACCACCAATCTTACATTTTCCCTTCATTTTTTATTAACCCCTCAAGCAGTCCTCAGAGAGGTGGTGCCACAGACCTGCTCCTTTCCTATATTAGATATTTCCAACTCTCCTCCTTTGGCCGCTTTGCTCTCAGGATGACCTGTACACAGTGGGGTACATTCTTTTGTTTCTACCCAGATGTCCTGACACATCTCCTTCTCTCTGAGGAACAAGCATTCCTTCTGCTCTATAAGACTGACCCCTCTTGCAGCACTCAGAACCTCATTCTTCCCACGTACTCTGGAACTTTTCTGACATGACCAGCCCACCCTTCTCCATTCTATAACCATGCCTCCTCTACTTCCTAGTGGGGATCGTCCATGGTTTAGATGAAACATGCTTCAAACTTCTCTAGGTACCTTCCAAAGCCTCCATATTTTGGTCCCATGTATCCACTACCTGTCAGTGCAAATATTTTATCCTTGACATATCCTTTCCACATGTCATGCTAACTCAATCTTTGCCCTGATCTGCATAAAAGGTAAGAAGAGTGAAGAGAGAGGGGACTACTTCTCATTTACACTTCCTTTCTGCCAGGCATCATACTAATGCTTTGTACACATCATCTCATCTGACCCTCATAACACATCTATGGATAGGGACTATTAATATCTTCATTTTATAGATGAGGAAACTGAGGCAGGGAGAGGTCAAGAAACTCATCAAAGTCATAAGCTAGAAAGTTCTCCAGCTGTGATTTAAATTTGTGCTTTTCTACTACACCGTCTTGACTCCAATATGAATTGTTGAGAGCATCGATGGCAAGTATTTGTCAGAAATATTTCCTCATTAAATATGTTTTTTAAAAATATCATTCTTGTTTGAAGAATACTTTAAAAGGCATATGCAACAGTAAAGATAGATTATTTAGCATACATTTTCTTTCGCCTATGCAAGTTTCAATTCCTTGGTTCTTATTCTCCAGACAATAAGCTCCTCCTCTACTTTTCTCAGTCTACAGCTTCTCTGCAAGAAACTCTCCGGGCAACAGTGGGTGAACTGAAAGGGGAACTGGAATAAGATCATTTCACAATTAAATGGTCATCTTCCACATTAATCAGACTGGACAGAAAAGTGACTCAAAGATCATCACTGTCTATAATTATTCTGTATTGCTGTTGGCATAGGCTAGTGACTTCTAGCATATCCTACCTTAAAAGAAAAGGGAACCAATCAAAATCATTTTAAAAATTTTGATTAAAAAACTCATTGTTGGGGCTTCCCTGGTGGTCCAATGGCTAAGACTCTGTGCTCCCAATGCAGAGGGCCTGGGTTCGACCCCTGGTCAGGGAACTGGATCATATACGCTGCAACTAGAGTTTGCATGCCACGGCTAAAAGATCCTATATGCTGCAACTAAGACCTGGTACAGCCAAATAAATAAACAATAAATAAAATAAATATTAAAAACTAAGTTATATGTCAATTAAAAACCCATTGTAAATTCAAGGTTATATTTTTGTACTCTTAGAATCAATCAACAAATGAATATTTATAGAATATCTACTGTGTGATTTGAACTGGGCTGTGGTAGTACAGGAGGTAGTAATAAAGTTCTCAAGGAGTTTACATATGGATTAGAGTGATAAGATATAAGCCATATTGGATGATAGAGCCAACAGTGAAGATAAAATATAGTTAACGCCTAACTTAAGGGAATAAACTCTGAGCACAGAATAATTCAGGGGAGATGGACATTAGAAGGGGCTTAATGCAGGCTTGAGGCATGGTAGAAATTTGGAGTGGTAAAGACAAAGGAAAGGAAGGTGTTAAAGACAGTGGGCACAACATGGACAAACAAAGTATTATGGGGGCAGTGAAGAGACCAACTTCTCAAAATTTGTGTAAGTGTTAGAGAACAAGGGGAAATAAAGTTGACAGGCAAAGAGCAGTCAAGGCAAAGGGACTAGATTTCATATCAAGAGGCATAGGATCAGGTAATAACAAGTGTTGATATGAATGAAGAGAAATTAGAATCTTCCATACACTACTGGTGGGGATGTAAAACGAAGCAGCTACTTTTGAAAATAGTCTGGCACTTTCTCAAAAAGTTAAACATAGAGTTTCCATACAACCCAGCAGTTCCACTCTTATGTATACACCCAAGAAAAATGAAAACATAAGTCCACACAATAACCATACATGAATGTTCATAGCAGCAACATTCATAATAACTAAAAAGTGGAAACAGCCTAATGCCGATCAATTAGATGAATGCATAAATAAAATACAAGAGGATACCATTCAGCCATAGAAATAAATAAAGTACTGATAGATGCTACAACATGGATGAATCTTGAAAACATGCTAAGTGAACGAAGCCAGTTGCAAAAGACCACATATTTTGTGACTCTATTTATATGAATGTCCAGAAATGTCCAAATATACAGATACAGAAAGTAAATTTGTGGAAATTTAAGAATGGGGGGAATGAGGTGAGAGGGAGTGATAGCTAAAAGGTATGAGGTTTATTTATTTTTAAATTTTTTATTTTATATCAGAGTATAGTTGATTAACAGCATTGTGATAGTTTAAGGTATACAGCAAAGTGATTCAGTTATACAAAGGGAATGGAAAATGAGATTTCTTTTTGATATGGTGAAATGTTCTAAAATTGAGTGCAGTTATGTCTGCACAACTCAGTGAATATACTAAAAACTGCTGACTTGTACATTTTAATAGGTGAACTGAATGGTGTATGTATTATATCTCAATAAAAGCTGTTTCAAAAAAGAAAGCAAGGAAAGAGATTTAAAATATACAAATATGACTTCGCTGGTGGAGCTGACATTCAGCAGCAGGTAGAGCCTTCATACCAAGGTGACCTTCAGGATACTTGGTGCTGCGAGTTTACTAAGGAGACCTGGTAACTCTAGCCTCAGACAGGACACAAGATAAAGATAGGCAGAGGTAAGAATTA